CTGCCGGTACAGCTGCACACGCCGCTGCCGCTTCTGGAAGTTGCTGACCACCCAGGCGGCCACTCCACGCTTGGCTGGCAGCGGAGGCGGGGGCCCCTCTCGGGGCTCCAGGCGGCCGTAGGGCACAAAGATGTCCGAGTCACGCCGGTAGCTCAGCACCCAGTTGAAGACCCCTCGGAGGCGGCCGAGGCCGCGGGTGTGGCTGGGCGACTCCATGGAGGCCCACACCCAGGGCTGGCCCTGCGGCCGCTCGGCCAGGGGCAGGCGGGCCCGCTGGGTCTGCAGCTCTCGGTGGTGGAAGACCACGGCATCGGCGCCGGCCAGCAGGCTGCGGTTGGCGGTCAGGTGGCAGCGGGCCACCCCGTACCTGGCGCAGGTGTCCCCGGGCAGCTCTGGGGGCTGGCTGGCAAACGGCCAGTGCCAGACGAGGATGGTGATCGTGGGCTGTGGGGCCGGGGCTCCCCCGGGGGCCGCCCCGAGCCTCCACCAGAGCCAGACAGCCGAGAGGAGGGCCGCCACGGCCAGGCCCCCCAGAGCCCGGAGGCTCGGAGCGGGGCTGAGGCCTGCAGGGGGACACGGGAAGAGAGGCTGTGTCCTCCAGCTCGCCACGGGCCCCGGGCTCCCAGCCCAGGCCTCCCCCAAGGCCAGAGACTCACCAGCATTCTGCATTCACGGCTCCTCAAATCACAGCCGCCACTCGGCAGGAACGCCCTGAAACCACAGCTGCTCCTCTGCACTGGGTACCGCCTGGAAATGCTCTCCTTTCATCTGCTCAGGAGGAAGGCCGCCAGAGCATCTTCCCGCTCCCGTCCCGCCCCCGCCCCCGGTGACCTTTGACACCGCCAGCATCCTAACCCCGCCTCCCCCGCGAGGCCCCTGGCTGGTGGGGGGCAGCGGCCCCCGGAAGGGCATCCAGCCAGGGTTCAGAGCCGTGTCCCCCACCCCTGCCGGCCTCTGGGAAGGCCTGGAGATGACCTGCCGGCAGGCCCGGGGGGAGGAGAGGGCCCACCTGGCCTCAGGGAGGGGGAGGCCATCGCGAGTGGAGGTGGCCCCCACCTGGAAAGGGCGACCCTGACATCGAGGACCCAGTGGCCGCCCGCTGCCCTGCCAGGGGTGCCGCAGAGAGCAGGCGTACTTCCTTGGGGCCGCCGCCTCCTCGGGCGCCGTGTCATCACCCACTTCCCCCGCTCCCCCCCTCGGCTCCGCAGTGGGCCCCCAGACCCTCTGGCTGCAGACGCGCTGTGCTCAGCTCCCCTCGGGAGGATGAGGTTTCTCCCATGTGTCGCTTCTAGCTGGGCCTCTCCACGCCACCCACCCCTACTGCCTCGAGGACACCTTTGTCCCGGAACCCAAATTCCCCGGGAGGGGCTCCGTCGCAGGGCCCACAAAGGGCCCCAACGCTCGCCCTCGATGGACAGCGCCAGGCTGGGCCTGGCTCCTGGTGGGCTGTGGGGCTGCCACGCCTTCCTTCCCCACCAAGGGCGCCAGTCTGCAGGAGCCCCGGCCTGGGTGGCCTTGGGTCTGGCCAGGCCCGGAAGAGACGCGGGAACCTGGGCTGGGACGCTGCCCTTGGGGGCTCCGGGTCTCTTCCTCCAGGCTCCACAGCCCCGAGCGGGGGAGTACGGAGGGGGTTTTCCAGGCTGGAAAGGGAAGGAGTCGCTGTGTCCCTGACGTGGGCACCTGCGACAGGAAAAGGAAGGCTGCAGTCCAGAGGCCCTCTCCCCACCCCGCCGTCCGCCAACCCTGGGGCCCAGGCATGGAGGTCCAGTTCCTTCCCCTTTTGCCCTGGCTCCGGCCCACTCAGCTCTCGGTCACCAGCTTCCTTCACCCCAGCCGGATGTGGCCGGCAAGGCCCAGCCCTGGTGCTAGCGTCCTAAGGGCCTCAGGCCGGTCCAGTTCTTGGAGGCTGCAGGTTGGGTGTCATGAAAGGAACGCCGGCCTGGAACCTTCAGCAGGCCTGCCACCCGTGCCGTCCTGGGGGCTGCCCTTCACCCTGTCCGCTCGGGCTCCTGGCACTACCGGCCTGTCCCAGCTCCCGTCTCCCAGTAAGAACCAGACTGTATCCAGGACAGGAACTGAGGAGCCGTCAGCACACCCATGGGGGAGAGAGGCCGGTCCGGGAGAAGGGGGGCACTGGCCCCTCTGAGGCACCTCACCCCCAGCAGAGGCTTTGAGCGGTAGTGGTGAGGCTCTTGTGCAACGTTGGGGGGCGGGGGACGCGGGAGGAGGGCCATGGGAACTGTCGGAAACCATCTGGTGGCCGGTGGGGTGGATGCAGCATCGGGCCCCGGCCAGAGCAGAGGGCGGCTGGCACCCTGCCCTTCCAGCACCCAGCGCTCAGGGAGATGACCACGGTGGCCCTGGACCTGGGTCCCACCCGGTGTCTCTTCCCTGGCAGGGGCGCCCCCAAGGACCCCACCCCTCTGCCTGTGGCAGGCGCCCAGAGGGCAATGGGGGAGGGCAGGAAGGAGCCGCCCCCCACAGACCGCTGGCGACCTGGCTCCTGGTGCCAGGGCCTCTGCCCTTCCTGTTTGCACTGCCAGGTGGCGGGGGCTCTGCCAGCGCCGCAGCCACACCCGTTGCCCGCTCCCTTCCTGGGTGGGCTCGCAAGAGCCGCCCCAACCCTTGCCTGGGGTGCCCCCCGGGGCCCCTTGCACACCTACCCGCTCGGGGAGCAGCCAGGGCCCCATTCATGAGAACATGCTTGCTGGGAAATGGGGCTCAGGGTTTGGCCCAGAAATGGGTCAGAATGAGAGATTCTCAGCGGAAAAAAGAAAGAGACGGGCAAGCCTGAGTCAAAGGGAAAGTGGGGCCTCTTGCCAGCTCGATGCCAGGCCCCAGGGTCAACGGGGCGCCGGCGGGCACTCACCTCCGGCGCAGCCGCCCATGAGCACCCAGAACACGCGGTCACCCCCGCAGCCCAGCTGCTCCAGGGCCAGCCTCCCGGGGGGGCCCACCTGGAGGGTCCCTAACTGGTCTCCAGGGCCCAAGGGAAGAGGATCCCCCTTCCAGAGGCCTCTGCGGTGAAACCAGGGCTGGCCGCTGGTCAGGGATGAGGGAGCGGGGGCTGGGAGCGGGCCCCTCAGCCCACTCACCGGGCTCTCGGCCCCACAGAGCCCACTGCTCGCTCCCGCCACTGGCCCCGGTGAGCTCAAGCAGAGCAGCCAAACTCCTGCAGCTGCTGCTGGAACCAAGCCCCCTGCCAGCCCGTGGGGTGGGCGGGTCTGGAGCCCCAGTGCCGCACGCACACCTCTGCCGCCTCAGCGGCACCCGGGGCTGAGCCGGGGCAGGCTGTGGGGCAGGGCCCTGCGGGGGGCCCGGCAGGCCCTGGAGCTCCCCCTGGACGGGATGCGGCCAGGACCCCTGGCCAGGTGGGAAGGGCAGGAGGGCTGGAGGGGCTGGCAGCCTCAGGTGGTCCGCGGTGAGGCTGAAGGCAGCCGCTTGCTGTGACTGCCGCCCCCACAGCTGCACCCGACCTGGGGCCCCCTTGGCCAACTGCCAGCCTCTGTGCACCCCTCTTCCCCAAGGGGCTCCCGAAAGCCCCGGCCTCACGCTCTCCCTGGAGAAACGCGCCCCCTGCTGCCCTCGCCCCCTCCTGCAGGAGCCCGCGGCCGAGCTCCGCCACCAGGGGGCGCGCTGGGCCCGTGGCCCCACTTGGCCGGGCTGGGCCAGCCCTGCGGGCAGAGAGGTGTGCTCTGGCCCTCCGGCCCTGAGGCAGCCCTCTGGCTGCGGTTGGGTGTTCCCTCCGCCCCGCCTAGGCGCTGCTGTCTGGAAGGAGCCGGTGGTCCGCCAGGGCACGTGGGTGGCCGTCCTCTACCCAGGTCAGAGCAGCACAAGGCCGCAGGGGCAAGTGCCAGGACTCCAGGGACAGAGCCCAGGGCTCCAGGGCAACCTTCGGTCCCGGGTCAGCAGGGTTCAGCCGGGGACTGGCCTTTACCCTTAAGGGAGGCCTTGACCTCTCTGTCCCCCTGTTTTCTTTGTGGCCATTCCCCCTCATGACATGGACTAAGTAACAGGGGTCCTCAACGCGCTGCCCACATGCCACCCTGCGCTCGTTCCCAGCTCCCTGTCCCCACCCCCTTCCATCTCCCAGATCAGCGCACCAGAGGGACACCGTGGCTTCCCGCTGGGGGCCCACCCGAGGCCATAGCCCCAGAGACACACTGCTTCAGCAGAGCCACCCGCTCTGAGGACGGCCAACCCGGCTTCCGCTGCCCAGCCCCACCAGAGCGACCAGGCCGCCCCCAGCGGGCCGTGTCCACCCCCTGCAGGGCTGCCCCACCAGGAGCCAGAGGTCAGCAACCTCGGGACCCCGCCCTGAGGGGCTTCTGAGCCCCACCCACCCTTCCTCCCCAGGCTTGGTGGGGCAGACGGGCCTGACCCCCACCCTGTCTGCACCAGGCCCCCACTGCGCCCTGGGCCCCAGAAGCCCCTCCTTCCAGCCCAGTCTCATCGTCACTTCTGAGCACAAAACTTGGAGCCCACTCTGGGGCTTCAGCTGAAGGTCACCTCCCCCTCCACTGGCTTTCCTGCTCCTTGGCGGGGGGTTGGGGTCAGCTGAGAGGTGCCTCCTGACATTCGGGGACCCCACCACCTGTCGCCTCCGCTGCCCACCCTGGTCCACCGCCTGTGTCTAGGTTCCTCCGCCTGGCATGTCCCCTACACATGCTGCAGGGGTCCCCGTGGTCCCGCAGTAAGCCCACAGACAGGCTGCGCAGCCCAGCCCTCCCGGCCCAGGTGGACGCCGGGCGGGAGCGGAGGCCTCAGTGCCCACTCCCAGCCCTTCTCATCATGCACAAGATGGGGTGTTTGAGGGAAGAGCACCAACTCGACTGGCCTGGCCATGCACCCACACTCTCCCATCCCCAGCCCTCTTCCCCAGAGGGCAGGGACAGGGTCTTCCCAGGCTGGGGGTGCAGCAGAAGGCCCAAGGACCCACTCCAGGGTCCATCCACCATGGCCGCCTGTTGGGGGCGAGGCCAGTCTCTAGCACACTCAGCCAAAGATTTGAAATGTACTTTAATTGGCTTGTCTCCAGCATTACCACCCATGCCTGGTCTCGGGTTCTCCTCCCCCCCTCGATCGGGGGTTTCCACACTTGAGGGGACAGGTGCAACAAGGGGGCACAGGCAGGCAGGAGTCTGCCCCGCGAGGAGTTCCTAGCCGCTGGGGCCCCAGCCACGAGCAGGCGTGTGTCAGGACACCCTCTCTTTAATGGGAAAGGCCGGGTGCCCTGCTCCTCCCCACCAGTGGGCATCACGTCCTCGAGAGGGTGAGCGAGAGGGTGGGCATCAGCCTTCGGGTCACTGCAGCGGGGGCGCGGACAGCGAGGCATGGTCGAACAATGGGTTCCGAACCTCCATCTCTCCCGTCTGCGAACGCTGGCATTAGGTGGGCCCAGAGCAGGGGAGGGACCCCCGTCCGCCTCCCCCTGCACCCCTCCCCCCGCCCGTGCCCCCCANCAACCCACCCCTTTAGCCCCGCCCCTCCCCTTTAGACATCCCCTCCCACCCACCCGGCCCCACCCCGCCCCGTGCTCACCGCCACCAGAAGAGAGCCGCCACCGACAGCGCGGCCGCGCCGGCCACGGAGCAGGCCAGGATCAGCACTGCAGGGAGGGGGCGTGGTGAGGGCAGCCTTCGCGGCAGGACCCCGCCTCCCCGCCCGGCCGCACCTACCAAGTGTGAGGCTGTCACCGCGCCCGCCCCGCGGCTCCAGGGGGGACACGTGCACAGGCCCGGACGACACAGCGGGGCCCAGGGAGGGGCGGGGTGTGGGCGCCGGGGCTCCCCGCGGGGAGGGTAGGCCCAGGTCGGGTCCCCGGCCTCGCTCCGAGAGCCCCAGGGTGGCAGCTGAAGAGAGACGGCAAGTCAGCGCAGCGAGACGGGCTGGGGCCCAGGGTGTGGGGAACCGGACAGGTGCACGGCTAAGGGTCTCACCCGCCTCCGGGGGCCGCTGTGGTCCCGCAAGCTGGGGTGGGGCCTTGAGCCCGGGGCGCCCCGCCTCCTGCCGGGCTAGCTCCTGGGCCAGGAAGTCGATCTCCTCCTCCAGTCTGGGCCGCGGCAAGCCCTCCCCTGGCGAGGGTTAGGGGCCATCAGCTGGAGAGGCCCTGAGCCCTTCCTGGCAAGACCAGCTACAGGTGGCCTTCCCAGAGAGAGCGGGAAGGCCCATCCGCTAGCCAGTCTCCAGGCCTGGGTCTCCTCCCCACAAGGCTCCTCCTAGGCCCCAGGAGCCAGAGGACCAGGTGCCAGCCCGCCGGCCCTGACCATCCTAGTTGCCATGGTGACAACTGTAGGAACTGTGTGTGCTGCAGTTCTCAGGAAAGTAGGCAGGGGGCAAGTGCCAGGGGAACACGCCAAGGCCAGGAGGTCAGGGCAGGGGTGCCGGCCCTCTCGCCACCCACTACCCACAAAGCAGGGACAGTGCATCACCGGGCCACGTGGGCCTCCTCGGCCAAGGGGGCAAGACTTCCCAAGGGATGCGGAGAAGCCCTGTCCTAACCGCCACCTCTGCCTGGTCATCAGGAGGAAGGGAGGGCAGCTGCCGGGGCGGGACTGTGGATGGGCCTCCCCGTCCCAGACAGAGACTCCCAGGAGACACTGGCGCTCAGCATCCGCAGAGCAGATCATGTGCCTTCAGAAACCATATACCTGTGGCTAGGAATGTGCTCCTCCGGGAAGCCCCTCCCACCCTGTCCAACTCTTCAGCCCCCACAATACCCTCTGTAATGCCCCATCACACCTGAAGTCACTCTGGCTGGCACCATCCCAACAGACACTGGGTCAGGGCAGCACCAGGGCATTCAAGCAGACAGGAGTGATGGAGAGAGAAGGGATGCTGGGCAAAGGGCAGAGGCAGTTCAGCGGGGTGGAGAGCTGGGTGCCTGACTCTGCGGAGACTCAGGCCTGGGGAATGCTGACCTTGTCTCTCCCGGGATCACCCTGGCACTTCATGCTGGGTACCTGTGGCCCTGGGAAGGGTGACTGCCCCAGGCCCCAGCCCACTGCCCAACTCCGCACTGGTGCCATTCAGAAAGGGTCACCAGGCCACTTGGAAGGAGATTGGCAAGTCCTGGCATCCCATAAGGTGCACGACACTCGAGCGCTGAGGAAGGGGGCAAATGTACCAGGTGGGGGGGAGGAGCCCGTACCCAGAGGCTGGCGCATCCTGGGCACACAGAGCCCCTGCCGATCCTCCTGGAAGGGCTGGAGGCAGGGCCCACAGACATGTGCACCCGGGGGGCACCGTGCCCGCCTCTTCAGGGCACAGTCCAGGCTCCCAGGACAGGCAGCTGCATCTGGAAAGGAAGCAGAGGAAGAAAAGGGTCTTGGCGGGCTTGACTCAGCCCCTGCCCAGAAGTGGTGCCGTCTTGGCCGCCCCGCCCCCACTCCAGAGCTGGCCAAGCCGGGCTCCGGCCATTGTTCTGGGCAGGCCCTGCCTCCCCCGCGTCAGGGATCAGAACCAGGAAGACAAACAGTCCTGACACTTATCGGAACTCCCTCGCCCCACCCACTCCCCAGAGGCCACTGCCCAGGCTCAGGCCAGTTTTCTGCACGGAAATGTTCCTTCTCCTCCTGAGAGCACAGAGCTCTCCTGGGCCGTGCAGCCCTCCAAGCCCTGCTTCTGGCCTCAAGCTGACCCAGAGCAAGCCTCTCACCCAGCCAGGGAGTCCCAGACGGTGGGGCCCTGGTCTGTCTCTCATCCCCTCAGAGCTGCCACTCAAACCCCATCACGACATCCTACAGCCCTAGAAAGCCTGGCTGGGAGACGGCCCAGATCCAGTCGCTCCCACCACATCTACCTTCTGGCTCGTCCCGACACAGAGAGGGGCTGCTGGGCAGGGGAAGCCTGGGGTGGAGTCTGCCGGCCTCACTGGCTTCACAAACAGAGACCAGGCCAGGGCAGGCCTGCAGCCAGCGCTGCCAGGGGCTGGGGAGCCTGGACTACGGCTTGGAGGATGCTTCTAATTCGGGGCCCAGACGTGTGCCCTGTACACACAGCCGTAGCTCCCAGCCTGACGCTGCGGAGTGGAGGGTGGTGGCCCTCTCAGTCTCAGTCTCCTCTCTGGATGCAGAAGGTGAGGCATCTCCACACCGGGGAAAGTCTCAGGCCTGGACACTGGCCCCAGTCACTAGACAGCAGAGCCTGGGGAGCCACAGGGAGACCCAAGAGGACAGTCAATCATGCCTGGGGAGGTGGGGGTATCTTGGAGGACCAGGACTGGTTCCCTCTGCCCAGCGCCCCCTGCAGGAGGGTGACATGCCAGCCTGTCCTCCAGACCTCAGCTAGCCTGACTTGGTTCCCTCGGTAACCTGATACAGCCCCTTGGCTGTAGGTATTTCTTGGAGGAAGTTCCAGCAGCTTCTACAGCAGGTGGGCAAGTGGGCTGGGGCTCCCCTCCCAGGGATCCCTCCTCCTGCACAACCTGGGTCGGCAGGCGCCAGTATCAGTGCGCTGGACGCAGGGCTGGGGCTGGTTAAACATTAAGCCTGCGCCAGCAGGTCTGTCTAGACCCCACCCACCAGCTGGGTCCCCGGGGAGCCAGGCAGTCCCAGCCCCTGGTGCTGAGAACCCGGGGTACACTGACCCGGGCTAGGGGCCTGCAGTCCAGAGCTGGCTCTCGGTTCTGGGCTCCAGGGGTCTCCCTTCACTCCCCGCCCCCCCGCCACAGGAAGCCACCGGCACTGGCTGCTGATCCTGGGAAGGCCCCCGCTCTTAGAGTGTGGGATGAGGCCCCAGGAACAACGGCACCTGGAGCGTGGCTGGCACGCTGCCCTGCATCTGGGCGAGCACAGGGCTGATGAGCTGCTGGGGCAGCACCCGGCCTCCCCGTCTCCTCGGGGGCCCCATGCTGCACAGCCTGGAGCCAGGCTGCCAGCAGGCAGCCTCCACCACTCCTGGCCCTCAGGCCTCCTTGGGCGCGCCTCTGGTCAGGCCAGGCCCCTGTCCAGTGGTGCTGTGCCCAGGAAGAAGCCTGCCCTGCTCTGGCCTCTTGATGCCACACATGCAGACCACACCGCCCAGGTTAGCATCCCAGCCGCATCACATACTGGTCACTTCACCTCTCTGTGCCTCAGTTTTCTCATCTGTGATATGGGCTAAAGGCAGCACCTCTCCCATGGAGCTGCTAGGAGAAATGGGGCCTGGGTACAGAGCCCCCCAGTCCTGCCTCCTGGGAGGGTGCGATCGGGATTCTGGGTTCCTGCAGAACTCTGGAGCCTCAGTGCCATCTGGGAAGCTGGCAGGGTCTCCCAGGACCTGGGCTTATCCCTCTCTGCCTGAATCTGCCCTGGGGGGTGCGCCCACCGCCAGGCACAGAAGACGGAATGCAGGGGCCCTGCAGGGCAGAGGCTGTGAGTTCCTCCCGCCCCCAGTGAGGCCAGAGCAAGCCCCAAGGCCTGGGACGAGCGAAACTTCAGACGCGGCCACAGCAGCAAAGCAAGGTGCGTGTCCACCACCCGAGCGGCAGGGACAGACCAGCGCTGCGGCTCCTGCTCCAGGACGGCCACCGGCAGGAAGGCCAGCAGGCACCGGAGACGCGCGCACAGAGAGACGCCCGTGGGACCGGCTCCAGGCCGCGGCCCGCTCCGAGACAGCCCGCCTGCGACACCGACCCACCGGCTCACGAACCCAGACAAAGACAAGAAGCGGATGGACTTCAGGTTCGCCGCCAAGGAGCCCGGAGAATCCCCGTCCAGAGGAGTCCCTCGGCGGTCCGGCGCCGCGCCCTTCCCGCCGGGGACTGTTTACCCGAGCAGGGCCAGGCGAGGCCGGCGCAGCGGCTCGCGGGAGCTCACCGGAGCGGCCGGCGGCCGCACCGCGCAAGGCCGCGCCGAGGACGAGGCCGGACAGCAGCAGCCGCAGCAGCCGCAGGTGCCGCGGGGAGGGCGGGGGCACAGGCGTCGCCATCCTTCAGCGCCGCGGCCGGGGCAGCATGGCACCGCGCGTCCCAGGGCCGGGCGCGGGGTCGGGGCGCCGGGGTAGGCGGCGGCGAGGAGGGGGCGGAGGCCGGAGGCGGACGCCGAGGAAAACAGGCGGCGGCGGCGGCGGAGCTGACGCTGCGGCAGAGGATCCGGGCGGGGGCGGCGAGGGCGCCGAGTCGGAGTGCGCCTGCGCGCCCCACCTGCGGAGGCGGGACCGCCGTCAGGCTGCGCCCCCCCTCCGATTCCGAGCCCCTCCTCGGCCCCCGGCCAGCCCTCCGGGCGCCTCCGCCTCTGCGGCCTCTGCAAACCAGACCTTCTCCAGGCGGCGCACTGGCTGGGGCTGGGTCCCCCGGGATGCGCTTCCCCAGCCTGTCCCTCTCGGGCTGATAACTCCCACCCACCGCCCCCCACCCTCCTGGGGCGGAGGATCCGCCTGGGTCTGGAGGGACACCAGGCGCACACAGCTGGGCAGGCGCAGGGGGACGCGCAGGTGTACCCGGAGGCCGACCGGGCATTCAGACGCGCGGCCAAGGCACACACAGGCGCACAGGGCTAGCGCGGTGCCGGCGGCCACTAGGACTGCAGTGGGGCGGCCTCTCCCGGTGAGGCCACCAGGGGGCAAGAGTGACCTGGAACGGCTGCTGACAGCCAGCTGGGAGCTGTCCACGGTGCCCAGGTGACAGCCTGTTAGCTCCGGGGTGCCCCACGACGGCAAGCACTGGGGTGCACCCCCTAACCCCACCTACTGCCTCCTGGGAGCGCAGCCTCCGCGTCCCACCTGGAAACCTCCCAGGCTCCCGTCCCTGAGAGATCAGGGCGGCCCCCCGCCCCCGCGCGGTGCTCCTCTCCGCTCTTTGAGTCCCAAAACTCCGAAGATGGGGCTGGCGGCCCTCAGGTTTGTGAAATACTCAGAATCTGGCAGACGTGTATGTGGGGTGTGCGGGTGTTGTGTGTGTGTGTGAGCAGAGCAAGGACCACCCCCGTCCCTTATGAGGCACTGATCAGACAGAAATAGTGTAGAGCTCACTTCCCAGAAAGTGGGGGGGAGGGGGGCGGAGAGATGCAGGCAAGACCACGCCTGCCTGCCACTCGCAGGAGACAGGGCCTGGGGAGGGGCTGCCCGAGGCAGGTGGAGCGAAGTCTGTGCGATTATGCGGCTTGACCAGAGCCAGGCTCTCTGCAAGGCTCATCCTCCTGAGCAATGGAGCCCTGCGTCCCTCCTGGCCCTGGCTCCCCCCACACCACCCGCTCCTGTGGAGGGTTTGCCCCCTCCGTCCCCCCACCTCCCTCAGTGTCTTGAGCACAGCCTGTGAGGCCTGCGTGTTCAGTCATGTTCATGGGATTTTCCCTGGGCACGATTACTGGAGTGGGTTGCCATTTCCTCCTCCAGATCTTCCCAGCCAAGGGATTGAACCCACGTCTCCTGCATTGCAGGCAGATTCTTTACCGCTGAGCCACCCGGGAAGCCTCCTTGAGCACTGCCTGCAACTTAGGCAATCGCTTGGCCCCATCACTCCCTCGTCTGCCACCCCCCCCACCCCACCCCAGCCAACCTGAGACCAGGGTGCAGGCTCCAGTCTGGCAGGAGTCTCAGGGACTCTGTATTAGAGCCACCATCTGACAGCTACTCTAGGCCACGGTGGTGCAGCAAGGGACCAGAGTCAGCACTCCCCCAGCCTGAACCCAGAGAGGAAGGAAGTAGGAAGATCCAGGGCCCTCCCCAGGGACGGGGGGGGNNNGGGGGGGGGGGGGGGGACCTGTGCGGCCAACACAGCTGGGGTGGTGGAGGGAGAGAGGCAGCAGAGAGGCTCCGCCCCTTGGACATTCTCTCCACTGCTCTGCAAAAATCCTTTTATTCAATATTAAAAAATGTGTACAAGTAGGCCCTGGGCTGTGACCCTGACCGTCCCCCTAATACCCAATCCTGGGGTGGGAGGGGTCCTCAGAACTCCACTCCCGGGGACCAGACTCTGCTCTCACAGCCTGAGGACCCCCAACCTCAGTAAGAGGGGGAGCAGGAGGCCTCGAGGTGAGACCAAGGCTGGAGTTGGGGGGGTGGGGCTGGGTTCCATTCCCTTTGCCCATCCTGACCAGATGTCGGTGTCGGCACTGTCTTGATTCTGGGCTGCATTAGGGACAGAGATGTTGGTGGCGGGGTGGGGTGAGGGATGAGGGGATGTAGAGATGGGGGGCTTGGTGCTGGGGGCCCCTAGATGGTGCCCGCCGACTTGGTGGCGCGCGCCTGGTGCAGCAGGAGGGCAAACGCGGCCAGGAGCATGGCGGCGAAGAGCAGGAGGAGGGCGACCCAGGAGCTGAAGTCTGTGCCTTTGCGCAGCCCAGGCGGGTCAGCGGGAATCAGGTTGGTCAGGTTCAGCATGTAGCCAAGTGCCCAGCCGACCGCAGTGTCCCCAGCCTGCGGGCCACAGGTACGGCCTGAGCTTCTGCACAGCCAGGGCAGCCCCGCCCCTCCGCTCCTGGGTTCCCACCTTTTTCTGGAAGGTCACGTCTCCGAAGGAGCGCTCGTCGAAGCCATATCCGCGGCTCAGCAGCTGCTGCACAAACATGGCCCCGGCACAGTAGTCGGGCAGGCGGGCCCGGTCGTCCGGCGCCCGAGCCTGCAGCTGGGATGCAAGTGGAAGACTCTAGGGCCAGCGACCACCCGGAGGTCTCTGCCCCAGCAGACACAGAAGGGCAGTGTGGGGCTGGAGACGGTGCTGCAGGTCCCAGAAAGAAGCAGGAGGGGCTCCCCCCGGGGAGGAGCAGCCTGACCTCTGGATGGCGCCGTGCCTGTGAGGCTGAGGCCAGGGGACAGCGGCATGGCCCCTGGGAGCAGGGCCTGCAGCGGGCGTGGAGAGGTCAGGGGAGCAGAAGCTCCCGGCTCGGCCCCGGGCACTGGGCTTGCCTTCTGGGCCCACTTCCCCACCTGCCCGAGTCTGCCTGGGACTAGACACAGGGAGGACAGGACGAGCCCTACAGACACGCGAGTGTTTCACCGGAATCACCTCCTCCCCCGCGGGCCCAAACCCCTCCGTCTTACTTCACGTGGGACCGGCACAGCTGTTTTCCACTCCTGACTCCCCCAAGTCGTGCCTGTTCTACCTGCTGAGTCTCCCCGGGTCCTTCTACTTCTCCCCGGGTTGTCTGTTCTCCCCGACGCTCTCCCAGCCACACTCTTCCCTGCCCTGTCCACTCCACACTCCCTGCTGCCCCAGGCCCTTTGCACTGGCTGTCCCCTCCACCCTCCAGATCCTGGATCTGGAGTCAGGCCTCAGAGAGGCTTCTGTAATCCCATCTCATCTGACTGCTGGGTTCCAGGCTGTAGCCTGGCCACTTTTCAAGTCTGATTGGCACTGTGTCCCCACACCCTTCTAACCACAGAGCAAAAGAAAGACCGGGAGGCCTGATGCTGGCTGGCAGAAACCCCAGCCCCACCCTGCACAGCCCTGGTGGAGTGGGGGGGAAGGCCTCACCTCACTCCATGTCTGGCTACAGATGGTGACCACAGCCGCCTCTAGTTGCTGCAGAGTTGCTACGGGCAGCCCCATCACCGTTCTCAGGAAGTCCACCGTGTAGAAGAAAGCAGAGAAGGCCTGAAACGCGGGGACAGTCACACTGTGGCCAGACCCCAGGCACCTCAGGGCACGCCTCCCCCCCCCCCCCCCNTCCTCTGGACTCACGATAAACTTCCCAGACACAGGGGGCTGGAAGACGCCGTTGAAGGAGCATCTGGAGAAGCGGCAGGAGGAGGAGTTAAAGAGCTGGGAGACGAGGCCGCGGCACAGGGCAGGGTCGCTGCTGCCCGCCAGGCTGACCCTGGCGCTCCTGTTGAAGGCCTGGGGCCGCTGGGCGGCGGTGCAGGGCGACTCATAGACGTCCTGGAGCATCACGTGGGCGGAATAGCCCTGAGGCCAGCAGGGGTGGGGCCCACGGGTCTGGGGAACGACGAGGGCGTGCATCAGTTCCGCTCGGAGCGTTACCAGCCACGCCCGCCCTAGGACCCCAAAGGACAGCGTTTCTTCTCAACACATGAGCTATCCATGGCTCCCCCTTGCTTGCCGGACAAAACCCAAAGCGCTTGGCCAGGCAGTGCAGGTCCTCTGAGAGCTGGCCCCAGCCCTCCTTACTCACCAGGCCCACCCCCAGCCTCTGGGTCTTTGCTCATGCTGTGTTCTCGCCCACCTGTCCTTCCAGCTGATCCAAGCATGACCTGGGTTCCTGGAGAAGCCCCGCTCTGGCCACGCCTCAGGCTCTGCTCTGGGCCCTTGGCCCCCACTTTCCCCGAGCCCTACTTCCAGGAGGACTCAGTAGAGGGTACCTGGACTGCACTGGCTAGCAGCGTCCTCAGGACCTGGTCACGGCCGTAGCAGAGGAAGCTGTGCGTGTACACTCGGTAGCGCTGGCCGTAGAGCCGGAGCTGAACCTCGTTGGCCGGATCCTCCGCGGGGCTGGCCGTCTCGAAGGTGATCTGTGTGGAGGCGCCCCCCAGGTCCATGGCCCCCAGCGTCCCCTTCCTTGGCCGGAACCACCGGCCCACCCAGCCGTACTGTGGGAAGTAGAGATTGGGGTCAGCCAGCGGGTGGTGCCCACACCCCCGGCTCATCGGGCTGGCCACTGGGCCCACCTTGATGAAGTTTTCCAGCAAGTAGTTGGTGGTCACCCAGCCAAACACACCCTCATCCTGGCCTGAGAGGATGCGGGCACCGCGGAAGTCAAAGGGGTACTGGGTCAGCGTCTGCGTCACGGCAGCGAGCACGTTGGCTGAAGCCTCTGGACTGGTCAGGCTGTGACACAGGGAGGACTTCAGAGTCCTCCCCAGGTGGCCGTGACCCTACTGCTGGGGTGCTCAGCGTCTGCCCAGCCAGCTGAGGGGCCCCAGTCCAGGGCTGCTGCTGGCGGTGTGCAGGGCCCACCCTGGGCTCAGGCTGCCATGGTCCCCAGGGCCAGGAGGTCAGCAGCCAGGGCAGGACACTCACTTGAGCAGGCGCATGCCCGCCGTGGCTCCTAGGTAGAGCGGCGTGCCCACGTGTCTCTCCTTGGGCACGTCCCGAAGTGCCTGGTTCAGGCATTCCACAAGGCTCTGCCCGGCCCCAGAAGGGTTGTCAGCATAGCTAGAGATGCCCCCACCTGGAGGGAGGCAGCAGGATGGGCCTGGCGGGCAGCCTCTAGGTGGTCCACAGGCCAGCAGGACTGGGGGGGCTTGTGCTCCCAAGCCAGGTGGCAGCTTAGACCAAATTTCCCAACTTCAATTCTCAGAGACGCCCAGCTCAGAGATAAAAGGGCTGCCTGTGGGCCACCCATGGTCTCCGAGCTGCCACACCCACAGCAGTGGGTGCGCACACAGGTGCTCAGACAAAGCCCCGGGTGTTGTCCGCCCGCCCGGCCTCCCCAGGGGCCTGCCTGGGTGTGCCCACCAGCTCCTCCCGCTCTACCTGGGGTGTGGAGCCAATCTCGGGCCAGGCAAAGCCCAAACCTTCCAGATGTTCCCTGGGGCTTCTTTTCTGGGACCTGTCCACAGCCATTCCGTGGCCCAGGGACGCAGCCTCCCTTGCGGGGGCTCCTGCAGCTCCTGCCTGGAGTGGCCCCCTGGCACCACGCAGAGGGGTCTGACGGCTCGAGTCTGCAGAAGCTGAGACCGGGGCGGGCTCCCGAGGCCCCACAGGGAGCGGGTATGCAGGTCGGGGGTGTCCAGCGCCCAGGGGACTCTTACCTCGCACGTCACAGGAGCTGTGCTGGCCCACGATCCCTGTGTCGTTCTCTTTGTCCGCCGGCCACTTGTAGATAAACATGGACGTGTGGGAAGAGCCCGCGTCCAGGACGATGCCATACTGCGGGTGGGGTGGGGGTCAGCCTTAGGAGTGGGGCAGGGCGTGAAGCCATGCTCTGTGGCTCTCTCAGCTATCTGGCCCACCTTGCCCAACCCTGTGTCCAGACTGGAAGCTTCAGAATGAAGTTCTGAGGCTCCGAGAAGGCTGGGACAACTGCCGGGACACGGCTTGGTGGGCAGAGATGGGGGTGGAGGGCCATTGGCCGTGCCCCCGCTGACTGCAGGAGGCGCAGTCAGAGTCAGGGGTCGGGGGCCACCCTGGGAGCCCTGGCCGGGGGCCTGAGGTCCTCAGGCTGCAGCAAGAGCCCCTCAGACTGGCCCTTCCTTCCTTCCCGCCCTCCGTCCGGCCTCTCTGATCTCTGCCGCATCGCATCCGAGGAAGTGAAATGGAGGCCCCAGGGAAGCCAGGACCAAGGCTGATCACTGGCCAATGAGCAGAGGCCCCATCCCTGGGCCTCAAGGGCAGGGTCAGGGGAGCGCAGGGGTCTTTCCTGAGGGTCGGAAGATGACAGCACCCAGCTTGCCAGAGCTGCTTTCCTGCACCTGCCCCAGGGGCCTGCATTCCAGCAAGGGGAGCCTGCTGGGGAGCCTGCTGGAGTCCCTGGAACTCCAGGAGCAGAGCCAGCCAAGGGTCCGGCCTCGCCCCACCCCACCCCAGCCGGGAGTCTCCCCTGGCAAGAGAGCATTCACCCTGCATCTGCATCCCCAGCGCCTGGGTCTCCGAGTACCCGCCTCCACTCAGGCACCAGACTGGCCCTCAGTGCAGTAGAGGGTTAAGGGAGCCCAGGCTTCCGGAGGTCGAGTCTGGCGGGGGCGGGTGGGGGAATCAGGCCCAGTCCGTTCCAACTTTTTTTTAGGATCGGCCAGGGCTGCCCCCGCACCGTGAGAGCCAGCGGCGAGGCTGGGGAGGGGTCGCTGGGCCCAGCGCCTGTCGCACCCCATCTGGGCCAAACCCTGAGGGAGGCCGAGTGTGTTGGGGACGCAGGTCCGGCCACGGCCTGGGCGCCCTGGGGGTGCGGAGAGACTCTCCGTCTGCTGCTCCCAGACGGCTCCGCGGCGGGCGCAGCGAGCAGAGATCCCGGCACTTCGGCCTCCCGCACCGCGTCCCCGGGAAGCGCCGCTGCAGCGCCCTGGGCCGGGGCCGGAGCGCGGATGAGGGGCCCGGACCCCACCCCGCCGGGCCGGCTGCAGAGCGCGCGGAGTCCCGGCTGCCACGCGGGCGCAGCCCGGCCCAGCTCGGTCCAAGTCCCCGCGGACTGCGCTGGGCTGCCCGGGAGCTCGAGCGTGCACCTTGAGGGCGGGCGGCTCCCGGATATCGCGGGTGGGGACGCACAGCAGCAGGAGGCCGGCGAGGCCGGCGGCGGCCAGCAGCAGCGGCGGCAGCAGCGACAGCGCCTTCCCGGCCATGGGTGCGCAGGCGGGCCCGGCGTGCACGACGCGGCGGCTGGCAGCCGGGAGGCCGAGCGAGCTCGGGGGACCGCGGGGTTGGCACCCGGGGCGGGGACCGGTCCGCGGAGGCCACGCCCACGGCGGGATGGCCCGCCCACCTTCAGCCCGCCCCGAGCGCAGGTGAGAGTCTCGGTTGTTGAGTCACCCGCGCCGCCCAGGCGCCCGGCTCGCTGCCCCCTTTCCCCTTCCTGTCTGCTCTGCCCCAGAGCAATCCCTCCTGATCGGACCCCCACCCCAACCTCTAACAGCCTGCCAGCCACGCTGGGCCGTTGGGCACTCCCGCAGGACCCGGAGAACACCCTGCCCTCTGAGGCCTTGGCTTGGGGGCCTCCTGGGCGCGCTTGTTTGGAGGGTCGTTCTCCTGGAGAGCCGGCTCTCCCCTGGCCTGATCCTGAAGGAAGGAGGCACTACCCCAGCTACAGGAACCACGTGGGCTCCTGGCTGGGTCCCTGCAGGGGAGGGCCGACCTGCCTGCAGTTCCCACTCAGTCCTGGGCTCATGGCAGGGCACCGTGCCAGTCAAGCCCCAAGGCGCTGTGCTGACCCAGGCTGGGCCTGCCTGCCCTGGAGGTGCTGAGAGCTGAGAGCTGGGGGCCAAGCAGGGGGAAGCCAGACACATTTCACACGGTTCCAAGGAGACGGGTGAGGGTGCAAGCAGAGAGCAGAGCGGGGAGCCCTTAGTCCCACGGAGCCTGGAGACAGGGAGCCCTGTGCAGGGGCCTGGGGCCCCGCCACCACTCCTGCCCAGCGCAGGGCCCTCGCCCAGGGGCCCAGAAGCCTGGACCGGGGAGGAGGGGCCTCTGCACAGGAGGCCTCATCCTGTCGGCCGTGGGGCAGGGGGGAGACGGGCTGCAGGCTGGCCGGTGGGCACACTGGGGTGGGCAAGTGCTTGACTGGCCGAAGCCCCACCACATGTCTGGTTGCTATGCTCTGAGTCTCTATGCCACCCTGCGTGCCACCCTGACCAAGCATCACCCCTTACCCGGGCCAAGGGCCACCCCCACTTTGTGCAAAATGGGAATTCCCACGGCAGGGAGCTATGTGGCAAGGCCACCCAGGAGTGCCAGCAACAGTGGAGGGGGCAGGGGGCCCAGAAGGAGAGCCTTTGATGGGCACAGGGTCTGGGCAGTGGCGCGGCCGGCTGGAACCGGAGGGGACAATCGGGATTGCCGGGCCGGCTGCCCAGGCTGAGGGTCTGGTGTCTCGGGCCCAGCAATGGAGCCTTGTTCCCAGCTCAGGACCCGGCGGGAAGGGTGGGAGCCCCAGGACCTCGCTTGGCCTCCCCAAACCCTCCTGGCTGGGGCCCAGCGGAGAGTCACTGGGTGCGGCCAACTCAGGGCTCCATGCCCTGGTTTCCCGCCAGCTCCCCCACCAGCCCTCCCACCCCAGGCCCTTTCTTCCACCCCGGAAGGTTCGGAGGAGGGAGAGGCCGGCCATTTAGGCTGAGAAGGAGGAGACAAAGGCAGCCCAGAGGGAGCCTGGCAGACGCTGGTGTGCCGGCCGGCCGGCCCTGAGTGCCCCCAGCCCTCGAGGCCCGAGGGGAGGGGGCCGCGGGGACGCAGGCCTGGCCCCCGCGCTCATGCCAGGGGCCCAGACCAGCCTGGGGAAGAGCTGATGGGAGGAAGTGGGGGCATGAAACGGCCACGGCGAGACGGGAGGGTGTTCTCCCCACAGCGGCCGGGGCAGGACCACCTTTTGGCCCAGAGACTTCCTTTGACCACGACCACTGGACTCCGGAGGGCGGGCTGGGGGCAGGCAACAGGGAGACCCTAGCAGGGCCCGCCGGGCGGAAGGCGGCTCCGCCCTCCCCCGGGAACCTCGGCAGAGGTGGGGCTCCAGATGTTCTGCACATGCTTGGCCCTGGCCCCAGGCAGAGGAATGCGGCTGCAGAGAGGTGCCGGGAGAGGGCCTGGGGGAAGGTCCGCAACCCGCCGCCCTCGCAGGGCCCAGACCTCCCGGGGAGGGGTCCCGGCGGTCAGGGCCGCCACCGCCCCTGCCTCCGGCTCCTCGTGGGGAGTCACCGCCTCCTGTGGCTGAAACGCGTCGCCACTCACTGTGCTCGAGAAGGCACTCAGCAGGACGTGTGCGGGACCTTCTGAGGAGCAGGCGCAGCGGGCTGTGTGGCGTGCGGGAGGGCCGCCGCCCGTCGCGGAGGAGCGTCTCCCGAGGCGCCGCAGACACGGCGCAGGTGCGGCCCCGGGCCGGAGGCGGAGCGCCGTTTGGGGGCCGGCGTCTCACGGAGCCCGACCAGCCCGACCCGCCCGACCTTTGTGCTGCGGACTCGCTTGCTTTTGTTTATAGCTCTCCGCCCCTCGGTGCGTCTCTAAGTAATCGGTTATGCTGTTTTTCCCGTGCTTTTAATGTATTGGAATGCTATTCTGGAGTTTGCTTCTTCCTCTGCCTTTGGATTTTTGAGATTTGTAACGCTGACGAGCGAAACACTGTCTTCTGGTACGAGGGTCACAAACCTCACATTTCATAGTGTGTTCGTGGTCCTGGCGTCAGGCTGTTTTCACTAAGATTGCTGCTACACACACTTGCACACGAGCCTTTCCCTGGGGAAGAGCTTAGGCGCTGGGGACCAGAGCCCGCGTGCGTTCGGCATCGCCCGCCAGTACCGCCGTTTACAGCATGGCAGCGCCACCTGGTGGCCTCAAGGGCGCGCGCCACTGTTTCGGTTGGTATTCTGCAACTCTTGGGGTTTTTTTAAAAACACTTGTGTATTTATTTATTCGGCTGCGTCGGGTCTCAGTTGCAGCATGTGGGACCGTCACTGTCATGAGGGGGTCTCCCACTGTGGCTCATGGACTCTGGTTGAGGCGAGCGGGCTTCAGGAGCTGCAGTCCGTGGGCTTAGTTGCCCGAGGCATGAGGGGTCTTGGTTCCCAGACCAGGGATCACACCCGCATCCCCAGCATTGCAGGGCATTCCTAACAAACATCATTTTTAAAATTTATATCTTTTATTCTTCACTAATCCAGGCAGATGTTTCTGCACTGCACTTTGCGAGCTTTCTCAGTCAAGTTTTTGCCCCTTTGTGGATGTTTTATATCACACACGTAAGAGCATGGGTCCCCAACCAGGGATCCAACCCGCACTGCCTGCACTGGAAGCACCAGGTCTTGACCCCGAGACTGCAGGGAGGTCCTTGGATGCTTGTTTTCTATTCCACTATTTCCTGCCTTATCTTTATTGTTTATACTCAGATATGACTTTACGTGAGCAGGAGTTTTCGTGTCTCTTTCAGGTGTTACCCAGCATCAAGAGAAATGTCAGGTCCATGTGCTAAGTCACTTCAGTCGTGTCCGACTCTTTGCGACCCCATTAGCCCGCTGCTAATGGGCTGCTCTGCCCATGGGATTCTCCAGGCAAGAATACTGTGGTGGGTTGCCATGCCCTCCTCCAGAGCATCTTCCCCACCCAGGGATCGAACCCCGTGTGTGTTATGCCTTCTGCGTTGGCCGGCGGGTTCTTTACCATGAGCGCCGCCTGGGAAGCCCTGTCAGGCACATATGTACACTCAACAAAAATGTTTTTAACTGACGTGTTACAATTTCTTCTATATTCTGTGCATTGGTTCCTTCTTCTTCCAGAATCTGAAGTTCAGCGCTTAATTCATGTTTTACAAGGCTTCTTCTTTTCTAGTGTAAATGTCTAAATGTCTCTGTACATTTCCCTCTGGTTTCTGCTTTTGATGCACTTTTTGTCTTCATTTACAATTTTTTTCCCAGTTTCATTGTGATTTCTTATTTGACACATGAATTGCTTAGATATGGGTGTGTTTTTTAAACTTCTTTTTTCATGTTTTTTCTTTTTTCCTTTTTTGATTGTTTCTTTTTGCTTTTGCTTTGTTTTGGATTTGTTTTTCTGAGGACGTGTGTGTGTCTTAAAACCCAGAAGTCTGGGCTTTTTAAAAAAATTATTTATTTGGCTGCACTGGGTCTACGTTGCAGCACGCGGGACCTAGTTCCCTGACCAGGGATTAAACCTGAGCCTCCTGAATTGGGAGCATGGAGTCTTCCCTGAATTGGGAAGTCCCTGGGCTTTTTTCTAAGGTACCTACATCGTGGTTACATCATTTAGTCTGCTTGCAAGCAGTCTTCTGGTATCTGTTGGATTGGGTTTTGGGCCCAGTGTGTGTCATAGATATAAATGTTCCTCGTGTGCTGGAGAAGAATGTATGTTCTCCAATTAGTGAGTGCATTGGTCTGGATTTGTACACTACATTACCATTACCAATAACGTCCAAATCTACTATATCCTATCAATTATGAAGAGATATGCTAAAACTTCTCACTGTGATGATGAGTTTGCTAATTTTTCTTTACAGTTCTGACAAGTGTTGCTGTAAATATATATGTATAATATATATATGTATTATATATATATGTATATATACACATATAAACACATGGTACAATAGCAAAAGGAGAGAGACGAGGGCAGCGGAGGATGAGATGGTTGGATGGCATCACAGACTCAATGGACATGAACTTGGGCAAACTCTAGGAGATAGTGAGGGACAGGGAGGCCTGGCATGCTACCGTCCATGGGGTTGCAAAAAGTCAGACACGATTTAGCAACCAGACAACAGCAAATCCAGGAAACTGACAGTGGTACAATCTGAGGTGCTCACTTTACTTCACTGGTTTTGCTTGTACGCGTGTGAGTGTGTGTAGCTCTCTGCAGTTTTATCCCGTGTGGAGCCCTGTGTAACCACCGTGACAATTAGGAAACCCGACCGAACTGTCCCCGAGAGGCCCCTGCACCAGCTCCAGCCGCCCCGCTCCGTCCTGTGCTTCCCGTTGGCACAGGAATGGGTCATGCGTCACGTGTCCTTTCGAGTTTGGGTCTCACCACCTGGCATCGCTTCCCTGAGGCTCACCCACTTTGCTGCATTACCAGCAGTCCCTTCCTTCTTGTTGCTGACTTGCATCCTGTGGTGTGGATGGACCAGTGTCTGAACGGACATCCGGAGAAGGAAGGACATCTGAGCCGTGTCTAGCTGGGAGCGATGACCAGTGAAGCTGCTGTGAATCATCTTGTACATGTTCCTGTGTGAAAACAAGTCTTTGTTCCTCTGGGAAAAACGCCCAGGCATGCCATCACTGTGCATATGATGTATTAGTCAGGGTGCCCCCGAGAAAGGAAGGGAGCCAATAGGAATATATATTTGGGAAGGGAGAGGGGGAGAAACTGATTTTTATTTTAAAGAACTAGCTCACGCAGTTGTGGGAGCCAGCAAGTCTGAAGTCTGCAAAGCTCGTCAGCAGGCTGGAACCCAGGAAGACGTAATGTAGCAGGCTTGAGTGCAGAGGCGGCCTGCAAGCAGACCTCCTTCCTTTTGGGGGATCGCAGTCTTTTCTCTTAAGGTCTTCGACTGATTGGATGAAGCCCACCCACATTACGGAGGATAGTCTGGTTAACTCAGAGCTCACTGATGTAAAAGTCAGTCACGTCTAAAACATACCTTCACAGCAACCTCTGTGTTGTAACCAAAGGACTGGGGATCATACTCAAGTCAAGCTGACACGTGAAATTAGCCATCACATGTGGTGATTTCAGCTTTGAAAGGAATGACCAAATTATTTTCCAGGGTGGTTGTATCATTGGACATGCCTACCAGTAATGTGTGAGTGGTCCAGTCTCTCCAGATTTTCGCATTAGCCACTCTAATTGGGGTGTACCCATTCTCACTGTAGTTTTAATTTTCATTTTTCTAATGGCTAATAATGTTGAACATTTTTTCACATGCTTCCACGCTATGTCCTCCTCAGTGAAATGTCTGCATGTCTTTGTGAGTTATATTTTAGTTGGGGGAGTACAACTTTAGGGTTGCTGTATCTTCCTGGTAAATTAAGCTTTTTGAGATTGTTACTCTCTTCAATGTTATTAACATCTCTTGCCTTAAAATCTATTTTGTTTTAGATTAATACAACTGCTTGAGTTTTTCTTTGTTTTTGTTGTTTCGGTATCATTATATTTCAGGTGTGTCTCTTAAAACAGCTTATATCTGAATTTCTAAAAACCCAACCTGATAACTCACCAGAGTTAATCTATTCACATATTACTGTGAACAGTAATGCATTTCTTTGATCTTATGTGTTTTCTGATTTTTACATTTTTTTCTTCCAGATTTGAATTTCTTTTCCCTTTTCTCCTCCATTTTCCTGTCCCTCTTTTTTGAAAGGTATACTATTAGCTATTATCTTACCTGGTTCTCCCAGTTATTGTAACTTACAGACTTAATAAAGTAAATACAGTTGGTGTCTTTTCCCGCCTTGTAAACAATTATACTTGAGAATGCCTAGGCTCCCCCCACATTTGGGTTCTACTTGACTCCCTGAGGTCAGCACCCTCGTCCTCATTAGAATTACTGTCACAGCAGACGAGAAAGGGAGGAGGCCCCTGACGCGTGTGGATGCACCATCTCGGGAGCGAGTCCCGCCCCCCCCC